TCGGAACAGGCCGTTCTGGCCACTCCTGAACTTCTATAAATAGAGTTGGGTGGTTGAGGAGAAGAAGAGGTTTTTAGAGAGAAGTTTTAGAGAGAAGGGCTCTGGATTAAGAAGCTTGCTTTGGGTGGATTGAAGTTCCGGGTTGAGTTTCGGAAAGGGAATTTCGCTTCTTGGCTATTCTGAGTCAATCTTCAGGTAAGGGAAGCTAGATTGTAAAGTTGTTGGTTGTATGTGAGTTGGTAACTCCTTTGGGTACTTAGGTTGATTAGTATGAGTTATGTTATGGGATGAAAATATTGTGTGTTGCTAATATATGATTAAATATTTATCTATGATATTGTTGAAGCTAGTTGAAATTAAGTTGATAAAGTTGCTATATATTATGTGTGGACATGTATATGTTTTGAAGTGCATGATGATAATATTGTTAAGTTGTTAGAAAAGAGTTGCGTAGTTGTATAATTGAATAAGAAGTTGTATAATTGCATGGAGATGCATGTTCAGTATAGAGTTGTATGTGCCATGTGTTGAAAATATATTATTTTATGATGATTGAGTTGAAAATTATGAGTTGAGCTAATAAGTTGTTGAGTTGATTGTGTGGTTTAAAGTTGAAATGAGATGTTGTGTTGTTAAAATGTGTTGTTAAACAATTTGTGATGAGTTGTTGTGCTGATAAACTATGTTGTTCAAGTTGAATGTTGATTTAGATGATGAGTTGAAAAGTTGTATGTTGTTTAAGTTGTTAAGTTGATTAAGTTGTGATCACTAGGACTAGGGGAGATGTTTTTGAAGTTGCTCATCCCATTGTGTGGATTGAGATAGTTGTGGTGCTCTGGGAGCCCAATTTGTTGAAAAACCCTCATTGGGAAGTTGTCCCTTGGAGTGGACGTTGTGTTGTTCTCCTCTAGGACTTAGTTGATCCCGTGTGTGGAAGGTCGAGGCACACGTGTACAAAGCGACCACGGTATAGGGGCCAGACCGAGCTATACCGATTACAATCGGCCAGATGTTTATTATTGTAAAGTTGTTATGGTGTCTATTGTTGTAAAGTTGGAAAGTTGGGGACATATGGTGAAGATATATGTCCTATGTTGAGATACATAGTACTAAGGTGATAAGTTGAAAGTTGTTTTAAAGTTGAAAGTTGTTTTAAAGTTGAATCCCTTAGTACTGTGTGGGCGACATGGAAATAGTCAATCCATGTCATGGTTGAATGACCAATTTGAGTAAGGTATCTAGTTAGAGATGTAGTCTTTGACTAGGTACTGGAGGGTGCGTGGTACTTGGAGGACAGTGGGTGGGCTAACTCCATATGTGGATTGGTGATGCTAGCCAAGGCCGTGGTAGGCTCATACCCAAACCCTTCTGTCCTGACAGTAGTACTGGACCTCTGAGTCTAAGTGGCACACCTGAGAAATCGCCTATTGTTGTCTATACTTGGTTCTCTTCAGAGTTCCTAACGTTGTTCTATACCTGACCTGATTGAGATAGGTCAAACGTTGAATTCGGTAGGGTTTATGCCACCTAGACTGCTCAACCTCAGTTGTTGGAGATCTCCGAGTTGAAATGCGTGACGACGCATAAGTTGTTGATGAGTTGATTTGTTGTTGATATGAATTGTATATTTGTTGTTGTGTTGTTAAGCTGTGATTGTGTTGTATGTTGATCTTGTTGAAGATGATGATAGTGTTGTTATGTTGTAAGTTGAAATAATGTTAAGAAGTATAGTATATATGTTGTTTGTCTCATGTGTCGAATGCGAAGATGATTATATAGTTGTTATGTTGCATATAAAATTATTATGAGTTGTTTATTGTCTCTAGCTTACCCTTGCATGTTTCTATGTGGTTTGGACTGCGATGATCATACGTTGTATGGGAGCAGGGCAGGGATAGACTGGAGATAGCTGCTAGAGGCCACAGGAGGTGCCTGGAGATGGAATTTTTTTGTAGGCTATCTTATAGTAGCATATTTTGTTGTATATAATTGGTTGTCGTTGGTTGCTTGATTAGTAACTTGTGTTATAAATATTTTATTATACTATTTTAGTATATATATATTTTAGTAGTGTGTAGTGTTGTTCGTAGTGTAACGGCCATGGCAGGTCGTTACATTTGATACATATAGAATGAACATTTCTGTCATTAACTAAAATATATTTATTTACTTATAAAGATTTCTAAAAATAATCATATAAGATTTGTAAGAACTAAAAATTTAATGTTTGATTATAATTAATAATATATTTTGATATAAATATTCTTTTACAAAATATTTTTTTATTAAAATAACTTCATTAATTAAATACATATTATTACTTAAACGTTATTAGAAATGATATTAGACTACTTAAAAAAATTTAAAAATTTATAATTAAAATTATTTAAATACACAATTCAACAAAAGAAATAAATAAAAAAAATACTACCTTATAATTAAAAAAAATAAAAATATTTTTAAAATATCATTAATTAACCGTAAAAACAAAAAGATATTAATAATATTATTAAATTAACAATATCAAGAAATAATAAGATATAAAAAAGAGAAAAATAAAAATATAGAGAAAAAAGAGTGATAGGGAGAGGGAGAAAGGAGGTATTGAAAGTGAAAGATACAATAAAAAGAGAAAAAAAAATAAAAGAACAGAAAAGACAAGAGATATGCTTTAAAAAAAGTGAAGCTCAATTATATATTTCTACTTTTAAAAGGAATATTATGATGTTTTATATAATTAAAATTTTAATTTTTAGTTAAAAAAAGTTAAATTCTCAATTCTTTTAATGAAAATGTTTTTGTAAAAATATAAGATCTCAAACACTAGTACAGAATATACATTCTATGTCGGTTATTTTAGGGGTTTTACGTCGGAAAAACCTTCAACGTCGAAGCGGGAGACGTAAATTTACGTCTGGTGCAAAAACTAACGTAAATTTACGTCAGACATTACAAGGTCCGACGTAAAAAGTTATAAAAAAATAAATAAAAAAAAGAAAGAAAAAAGACTGCAAGCAGAACGACCCGTTCTGGTTGGAGAATGGCCCGTTGTTCAAGCAGAACGGCCCGTTTTGCATGGAGAACGGGCCGTTCTGAATGGAGAACGGGCCGTTCTCCAAGCAGAACGACCCGTTCTGCAACCCGGACTTGGCCACTTCCTTCTCCAGCTTCAAAAACTCAGAATGCAACGCAAACATTACCTTCTTATTCCATGAACACACTCAGCAGAAGACGCCACCTCATAGAACCTCCCAGAAAAACCCATGACCAACGCAACTGTCCGAAGAAGAAGAACATCATCACGTGAATCAACCTCTTCCCCAACCTTCCTAAGCTCCAAAGGAGGTATAACTTGTCGAGGCGGAGGGCGTTGATGCCGGACCACTCGCGGCACATGGTGGCTCCTACTGCAAGGGCAGCCACGATTTGAGGAGGAGGCGGAGGGATTTCTCGCGTGTGGCCTCCATTGGACAACGCGCGGGAGAAGGAAGTTTTTGAAATCTCCATTGCGTGTAAACCTTCTTTTAATGGGAGGTCCTGTGAATTATTTATGTCGGCCCTAGTAGGGTCTGACGTAAATTTTAACATCTACGCCGTCTATGCATTTTGCCCGAGGTAGATTTTAAAATTTAGGTCAGCCCCTACTAGGGCCGACATAAATAATTTAACTAAAATTACGAAACATGCCACCACTTTTTTATTACGTCCGGTATTTGTATGTCAGACGTAAAATGGGTGACGTAATATCCTAATTTTTCATTAATGAAAAAGAATATTTCATGATAATTTCTTTTTTTAAAATTAGATATCAAACATAAAAATTTATTATTATCAATCTAATAAGATTATCAAGATACACCTCCATTAAAGAAATTGTTTTATCGGGAATGCTCTAGAAACCAGAAATCATCTACTAATATCCATCCAAATTTCAACAGTTCCTATACAGACAAACTTCAGATCTCAGACCTTATCACTAAATCTTGAGCGTTGGCCTCACCCAACCCAGGTGACCTTATCAATATTAATCCGAAGCTAAGCCTTGTATACGAACCCATAAGATGGTAATTTAATAAAAATCAAATAAATAAAGGAAAAAAAATAATACGCTTAATATATCATTTTTAATTGGTCTATAAATTTTAAAAAAATATAATTAAGTCCTTTATTATTTTTTATATTTTGTAATTAGAAATTCATTTGCAACAAGTGATATTTCAAAAAAAATATTCATAATATCTACATACTTAAATAATTACATTAGATTATTATTCACATATATAAAAAATATATTGTGAAATTTCCTGAAGCATAAATAAAATTTTAATTTTAAAGACTAAATTATAAAAAAAATAAAAAAGATGAAGGACTTAAGTATAATTTTTTAATTTAAAGATTTAATTAAAAAATTTTAAAAACTTAGAGACAGAATGATGCGCTAAACTTGAACATATATACTAATAGGCATATATATCTTAAACACACTTATATATCTTAAACACTTATATGACACTTTTTTTTAAAATAATTTTTCTCTCTTTTTTATTATCAAATCTTATAACCTATACTATTTATAGTTCTCTCTCTTCTAGCACCGGGGTGTTCATATATTTTTATCCTAATTAAATAACGAAGAGTAAAACAACAATCATTTAATAAAAAATAATAATATATAGACACCCATATATTTTAAACACTTGACTTACTTGCCTTATTTGACACTCATGCAGGGACATGCACCCAATGCTATTAGACACATTGAGAGAAGGAGGGAAAAGAAAAAGAAGTATAATACGATAGATTATATAATATAATAGTATAGGAAGAGAAATAGAGGGGAAAAAATAGTTTAAAATTGGTGTTTGTGACGTATGTATGTCATGTATCATTAAGAAAGTAAAAAAAATTAACACAGCAGAAAAGACACTACAGCCATGTCCACTTTATGCTTATAAATGTTTGTTGGAGTCTGACACTGAGAGATGTGGTTGAAAGAAAGAATGGCTCTCAAACAATGGCCTCACGAGCACATGAAAGAAGTGTCCTCTTCTACCTTTTATCTTTCTCTTTCTTTCTTTATCAGTGTCCTGATATTGTTCAAGCTCGCGAGAAGAACCAAATCCAAAACCAATCTGAACCTGCCTCCATCTCCACCAAAACTACCAATCATAGGCAATCTTCATCAGTTTAGCACACTGCCATATCGCTCTCTTCGAGATCTCTCTCTCAAGTATGGTGATATGATGATGTTGCAGTTGGGGCAGATGAAATCTCCAACCCTAGTGGTTTCATCTGTAGAAGTGGCAAAGGAAATAATAAAAAACCACGACCTAGCTTTTTCGAACCGACCCCAAAACACTGCTGCGAAGATCTTACTCTATGGATGCACAGACGTTGGCTTTGCAGTCTATGGAGAAAACTGGAGACAGAAAAGAAAAATATGCGTCCTTGAACTTCTGAGCATGAGAAGGGTGCAGTCATTTCGTGCCATCAGGGAAGAAGAAGTTGCGGAGTTGGTGAATAAGCTACGTGAAGCAAGCTCGAGTGATGCATGTGTAAATCTAAGCGAGATGCTTATTTCAACTGCAAACAATATCGTATGTAAATGTGCTCTTGGAAAGAAGTATACAAGAGATGGTTCTAACAGTGTGAAAGAGTTAGCAAGGGATGTTATGATTTATCTCACAGCTTTCACTGTGAGAGATTTCTTCCCTTGGTTGGGTTGGATTGATGTTCTCACCGGAAAAATTCAGAAATACAAGGCCACTTCTAGAGCAATGGATGCTTTATTTGATCAGGCAATTGCTGAACATTTGGCTGTGAAAAAAGAAGGTGAACACTCCCAAAGGAAAGACTTCGTGGATATCCTTCTCCAACTTCAAGAGCATGACATGCTGAGCTTTGAGCTCACCAAAACTGACCTCAAAGCACTTATAACGGTATATTTTCCCCCTCTCATATCACTGTTTCTGTCTCAAACAAATTTACTCCCTCATTTTAAAGCGCAAAGTTATTTATATAAAGATAGGATAAATCTATATATTTCTACGTAATAAACCATATATAGAGATAATCGTCAGTTATCTTCATAAAGAAAAAGTTTAAAGAAAAATATTAAAGATATTTGGTTTTCTTCGATCATATTTCTGTATATGATTTTTTTAAAAAAAATTCATTTTGTTCTAAGTAATTCATCGGGAGTAGAATTTCTGTTTTCTAAGCAAGAATACACCGTTCTGTTGCAAATGCACAAATTCAACAAATGTTTTCAGGAAAAAGATATTTCCACATAAGATGTGACTACATCTTTCATTTATTTTTTAGGTAGATGTGTCTACATCAATAAATAACAAGAGATAAAAGATAGACAATTAATGTACGGCAGAGCCAGTTGGCTGGAGGATATATATATATATATATATGGAAAGTTTAAAATTTTATATTAATTCAAGATTATTTGATACTTTATTTATATAAAATAAAATTAATGTAATATATTTATTTTAAAATATATTAAAATAACACTTTGATTACTTTCAAGTTGTTGTTCAATTTTAACAAAATTTGATATATACATATAAAGTGATATGCACTTTCAATCTAATGGTGAATTTACAAAATTTATATTTAATATAAAGTTATTGAGCGGTGTAACACTTAGTAAAAGTTACATCGGTGTCGTTTGAACTCTCATACACACACACATATATATATATAAGAGTAAGTCTACCTAAACTTTTCGTTCAATAACTCATGTTCTACATCAAATTTTAACGATCTAATCTTTCAATTTAAAGTTCTTAATTCATAGATCAAATTTACAAATTTTTAGAAAATTAAAAATTATTTGATACTTCATTTCATTAATTCAAATTGACGAATAATCATAAAATTATTTTATACATTGATTCGAATTAATGAAACAAAGTATCAAATAATTTTCAAATTTTCTAAAAATTTAGAGATTTGATCTATGCATTAAGAACTTTAAATTAAACGGTTAGATCGTTAAAATTTGATGTAGAATATTAGTTATTGAACAGAATAAATTTACTTAGATTTACTCCTAGAGTAAAAAGATCCATTCTCATATATATATATATATATATATATTCTTCTTTTTGCGTTATATTACAATAATACCTATATTTTTTTTTCTCAAGTGTCAACTATTATATAATAATAGTAAGTAGAGAGTTGAAATAGTTTGTATAAAGTCTTATTAAATTCAAACTTTGGGAATGTTTTATAGTTTTGATAGATAAAAAATATTAACATAATAATTTTCATTTATTAATATTTAATACTTTTTTTTATTATAAATTTTAGGGGAGTCATACAACTATTTTGGTAATCATAAGAAAATAAAAATGTAATTTTTTTTTCACTAAATTGCATTTTTAGGAATTTTATTTTTGTTAATTTGTAATTTTGATCTTTTTATTTTAAAATAGAGTTATTTACTCTCTCTATTTTTAAGAATGCGAAATTTTGATTCTATTTTAAAACTATCTATTCTTATTATTGTAATTCATAATAATTATATATATATATATATATATAATTTCATTCTCCAATTCATTTATTTTTTCTAATTAATTAATTTTTATTTGTTCAGAGAGAAAGGGGGGAGACATCATGAAAGATGAGAGAAAAATTAATTAAAGAAGGAATTTAATAGGAGAGAGGTAAATAAGTTAGAGAAAGAATTTAATAGGAAAGAGAAATGAGTTGGAGAAGAAATTTAATAGGAGAAAGAAATGACTTGGAGAATGAAGTTAATAAGAGAGAAAAAATATTTTATTTTTATTTAAAATTAAATTAAATTATTATAATATCCTTTATATAAATTAACCAAATCAAAAGAAATGAGTTATTTTTTTATCCTAAAATTTTAGTATAGGTTGCTAACATACTTCCACTAAAAAATAGATGGGAGTATATTAACATTTCTATATATATATATATTATGATTTTTGCGAGTATCTATTTTTTTAATAAGAAACGAAAAAATTTCTACCTAACTGTGGATATGCTTGCGAGGATTAACCATTAAACTGATTGACATTTTTTTTGATCAATTCATCAAGTTTTTTTTTTTCTTTTAACAAAATAATCAGACAAGAATTCAAACATTTTTCTTTCTTATCAAAGAATTATAGCGTTTACATGCTTGAGAGTTTGTCTAACACAACGCTAAAGATTGTTATGATGATATGTCATTATTCATTGTTAAGATTTGAAGTTTTGAACTTTAATTTCCAGGCAGCTTATATAATATAAGAATAATTTTTTTAAGTCATTCAAAATGCTGAAAGATAAAACTTACAGTATTTTCAAGTTATTAATATAAGAGGCTTTTACTTTATTTACATTTGATAATTTTTAATCCTGAATGAACTACTAAAAAATTTCATTTCTATTCTTTTAGGACATGTTTGTGGGAGGAACTGATACAACTTCATCGACATTAGAATGGGCTATGTCGGAGCTTATAAGAAATCCTACCATAATGAAAAAGGTACAAGAAGAAGTGAGAACAGTTGTAGGTCACAAATCAAAAGTGGAAGAAAACGATGTTAATCAAATGCACTATTTAAAATGCGTAGTCAAAGAAACTCTAAGGTTACGCCTTCCTACTCCCCTTTTGGCTCCTCGTGAAACAATGTCTAGTATAAAACTAAAAGGATATGATATTCCAGCAAAAACAGTGGTATATATCAATGCATGGGCAATCCAAAGGGATCCTGAAATTTGGGAAAATCCAGAAGAGTTTCTCCCAGAGAGATTTGAAAAGAGTCAAGTTGATTTTAAAGGGCAAGAATACTTTCAGTTTATTCCATTTGGTTTTGGGAGAAGAGGATGTCCTGGAATGAATTTTGGAATTGCTGCTATTGAGTATGTGCTTGCGAACCTTCTTTATTGGTTTGATTGGAAGTTGCCTCAAGAATTTGATACCAGTGATATGGATATGACCGAGATTTTCGGACTTGTTGTATCGAGGAAAGTGCCACTTCACCTTAAACCAAAGACATTTCCATTTTAAGTCAAGTTAAATGTTTTCGTTCTTAAAGTGATTACAGTTGTAAGTCATCTTTACTTTGAGTGATGTTGTTGGTCCTAAATAATACTAGTGTTTTAAGTATGGTCAAATTTATAAAGATAACAAAATGTGATTATTAATATTATCATTTTATCAATAAAATATGATTTGTGGACGAACAGTATCTTTTCTCAAAAAAGAAAAAATTACACAACTCATTGACTCAGTCAGCAAAGTTTAGGTATTTGTCTCACTCTCATATATATATATTTATATTACACGCTGGTGAGAGAATTTAGCTATATATATGTTCAACGTTATTTTACTTAAAATATAATTTTACTTATATATTAATTTAATTTTTTTATGTACTTTTTTCTCTCTTAATATGGCTTTGTTATTATGTATATTTATTTGTATTTTGGAGGAATTATTTTTGAAAGTTATAGCTATGTATATATTTTAAAAAATAAAGCGATAATTATTTACATACTTTAAAAATAATAATGTTTAAATGTTGACTACGAAATCTTATCATAAATAATTAAAATTAAAAACATAATTTATGTGAGTTCCTTAAAATTTACATTCACGGCATTAATTCTAAAGTCATTATTTAATATTAAATTTTGATAATCCATATAAAATTGTATGTATGAGTTAGATTTATACTTTTATTTCTCATATTAAAATGTTATATTTTTTTTTATCGAATCTCATTATATATGATGACAACAAGTAGGGATGACTTCGACGGGATTTGAAGGGACGATCATCTTAAGCTCATAGCTAAAAGGAGTTCAAAAATAATTCAAACAATTTTAATGTGACAGAAAAATTTTATGTGTGATTGGGGAGTTGGAATTAGGGTAGTTAGAACATATAGACTCATCCTCAATATATATTATTTATTTATTTATTCTAATTTGTTACGTTCGATCCTATTAGATGTGATATGATGACAATATGTTTATGTAATGTACAGTAATTACCTAATTAAAGAGAACAAGACCAAACATCATGGTCAATTATGAGTTATGACGAACGGCAACTATTCGAAGTCTAGAATATTTTATGCTTATTTGGTGTACTATTGATAGAAAATTTAAAGCCTATAAATGCCGGAACACCTCCAAGTTCAACTAATACCTAAAACTCGTTTATCCAATTCAAATCCTACAAAGTTATAGAGAATAAAATAAAATTAAGGTTTCTTACTTTAAATATTTTTAATATAACGAATATATATATATATATATCAAAATAAAATATCAATACAATTTAAAACATGATTTTCTTCAAATAATAATTATAACAAAAATATCTTAATTCTAATTATATGAATAATTTAAATAAAATATTTTAACTAATTACACTAACACACCTTGCAAAATGGTGGTAGAGGAGGTAACACTAATTTTAGACATTAATCATTTATGTCGTGTAATACTAAGGAATTTGGCGAACATGTGTCTGCAAATTGATGGGTAGAAGGAACATGAGACACTGTGAGTTCTTTCTTGGTAATTGTTATCTCGTTTGGCAAGTGTACCAAATCGTATAAGTAATTTAATGAAAGTATGAGTATCGTCTCCCAAGGGACTTGCACAACACTTTACAATTTCACTGGTTATACTAACTAAGCTACCGAAAAGCAATAAGAGTTTGATTTGTTGTAGTAAATAATGTAAACAAGCAATAACAATTCTTTTTGGAATTTTGGTAAACACTTAGAGTGCAAAACTTGATTCTAATGCAATATTAATAAGTTTTTGGGGTTTGACTTCACTAAACCTTCCTCTCATGCTTATCACTAAGTTCACAATAATTATTATTCAGAATTTATCAATCACTCTCAAAAGTAACCAACCATAATCTCTTACAAGTTGGCATCTAAGTTACTAGCTTAAACTATCAATCTCTTGCATAGTTTAACCAAGAAACCAGCTTTAAAAATAAGAGCTTAAGAAAGACCAATGGCATTTACTCTATCTCTAGCAATAAGCACCATTAGCTGCTCTATTTCAAGTCAAAGGTTTAAAATCATTTCTCAATCTCTTAAAAACTTCAAGTTCAAGTTAAGGGTGATCAAGCCAAAACAAGCATTATGCACAGAAACAACCAAATACTTGTAAGTTACCACTTTGTGCTTGACTTCCTTCCTTATTTCCTAGCTTTCTCCTAAACTACAAAACAACAACCAAATACTTGTAAGTTACCTAAAAACATGATTCAAAAACAAAATGTGATCACCTAACAATTTAGATATGTTTTGAGTTAAAAACAAAGTCTAAAGCAAGAAAAATTGATATAAGTGCTTCAAACTAGGCCATAAACTTAATGAAATCATAGCACTTATCAGTAATTAAGTCATGTACAAAGTGATAATCAATGAAAATATGTTTCTTACATTAATTAGTGGAACATTGGATTGACACAAATATATATAGCTCCAATGTTGTCAAAATAGATGAGTGGCTCACCAACAATAAGAAGTTGAAGTTCCTTAAATAATTCCTTGGTCTAGAGAATTTCAACTATATTTGATCCAATTGTACGATATTATACCTTTATGGATGATTTGGCAATTGTTTGTTGCTTTTTACAAGACCAAGAGATAACATTAATTGGGACCAAGGTAGATGATGTGACATGTGATTCAACTTGACCTGGTCATGTATAATAATAATAATAATAATAATAATAACAATAATAATAATAAGTTAGTATTAATTTGAATGATCATTTATTCAAGACAATATTCTCTGTACTCTTACTTAATAACAAGTTTTGTGTTTTTGGGTTGATAACATTGTAACAATACAACATATTTATTTAAAATTTTATTTGATATTAATTAATGTTGGTTTTTTGAGTTGATAATAACGTAGTATATTAACAAATTTATCCTAGAATTTAAGTTGTATCATTATTTATTTTATGAGTTAATTACATTGCATTTACAACAAGACACCAAATGATTTATATCTAGTATGAAATATTTAATTTTTTACAATAAATAAATTTAATTATATTGACCCAACTCAATCCAACACATTTATGATCCAATTGGGTGATGTTGGGTTTGTAACGAGCTCAGAGGTCATTATGCTTAATATAATATGTGACACCCTTACTACCCCAACACATATATTGTAATAATAAAACTAACAAATAAATTTTTATCGTCGGTAAAAGGGTTCACATAAAAACCTTCACAAATGTTCTTCAATATCCAAAATAATTGAAGATAAAACTTGGAAAGTAAAACTTAAGAGTTTACAAATTATTTTCAAAATAATAGATACAACTCCAAATCTATATAATAAAACCATGTCCTAAAAATCCTTTGCCCCGATGTCACAATATCAGAGCATACCCATAATTCAACTGTTGGCATTCTAGATGCCACTCATAGCCGGATCTTCCTCACCTAAAACATCCACAAATTGTACGGCGAGAAAAGAAAACATCTATATGTAAAGCACATAAGAAAAACACAACAATGTAATCTCATTACATAATGAAATATTTACGAGCATTTATATATATCATAATTTATCAATCATGCATCATCTTCACGTCATAACTTGCAATCACACCAATTCATTACAAATCTTGCAATTAACATTATCATTTTCACATCCATAATTCACACAAATCTTACAAATAACACTATGCCAAGGCCACGCCACAATTGACATAAGTGATACGGGTTAATTGCCTCACTCATCCCACACCATGCTAGGGTCACGCCCTCCTTGTAGCATCATTTACCTAGTGGCCGTGCCATCCCTAGTCATCGATGTGAGGAACCACAATCACTTCACAATCCACACAATCTCTTATATTTAACCCTATGCCAGGGCTGCCATATTTGATATAAGTGATACGTGTTAATTGTCTTACTCATCCCACACCATGCTAGGGTCACGCCTTCCCTGTAGCATCACTTACCCAGGGGTTGTGCCATCCCTGGTCATTAGTGTGAGGAACCACAATCATAATCATATTCACATCCATACAACATCTCGTCTCATAGCTCAATTCCATACACACATCAAATAAGTCCAAAATAATGGTTTTCATACACCTCAAGCAATTCACATCTAAATCATCAATTTTTATCAAGTAATATAACAATAACATTCATAAATTAATATAATAATCAATGAAATTATCAATTTAATATAATTTTGACATAAATAGTAAAACCCCCAATTGTTCCAAAACCTAGCTCACAGACACTTTTCTACAATTTCGTTCTCTCTCCCAAATCATCATTCTTACAAATTATTAGCATATTTCTAATCCTCAATACATATACAGTCTAATGGGATCATCAATTTCTCAAACAGAAATAATTATAAAATTACCCCTAATCCTACAGGATTCCTCCTCTACCCAATTTTCTCATGTAACTCTACACATAAATAATTCCTTTTTCCCCCGTACCTTGATATGTAGAAGCTGAACCTACATAAGATCTGGTTGGTCTCCCTCGCTGGGTTCCCCTCGATCTGAAGCAGAAAGTAGAGGGAAAGAAGAGAGAGCAGAAGAAAAGAAATCAAAAAATAAGAGGTGTGCCTTTTGGGAGTGGTAGAGAGCTCAATTTATAGGCATCAGGCTTTGCCGGAACGACTCGTTCCAAATCTGGAACGGCCCGTTCTGGACCCTTAAATCATGGATAAAAATCACATCCAGAACGGCCCGTTCTCAAACCAGAACGGCTCGTTCTGGTGTGCATTTATTGCTCACAATGGCCATATTTTGGAAACGGCCCATTCCAAACCCGTTCCAAGCCCGTTCCCATTTAGGGTTATAGGCAGTTTTAATAGTCCAAAACGGCCCGTTCCAACTTGAGAACGGCCCGTTCTAGGCTACTAACTCACATTCATTTTGGTAGTTTGGAACGGCCCGTTCCAATTCCGGAACAGTTCGTTCCAAGCTACTAAATCACCCCTATACATTTATAAAAATTACCAAAATACCCTCAATAAAATAAAATAAAAATAAAATAAAAGCTGGGGTGTTACATAATGCAATTACTATGCAGTAAAAATATTAAGTGTATTCAACTACGTTAGAGTTATAATGCAATAGTTCTTGGTCATTCATGCAATTCAATATATGTGTAGAGGCA